GTGTGTTGCCAAAGAGCCTGAAGAAGCTGCTAACGACCTTCGTCACAGAAGAGACAATGGTGTTTGTGCATTGTTCCTCCGGTTGCTTCGGGAGAACAGTCTCTGCCAGTGAGGTGATCTTCAAGAGGCCTCGGGGTCTTTGTTTTTCTCCGTCCTCTCAATCAGTGGCTACTGCTCAGCAATGTGCTGTATTCTGTCCCCAGACTTCCTCCCTCTAGAAACGTGGACATCCTCACCAATACAGTGTAATGACACGAAACATAAATACTAGGGACACGCCCGTTCAAATGACACCGTTAGGATTTCTAAGCCCAGAGGGCACTTTGTGTGTATACACACACGTTCCCAGCCTACAGCAGACTTCACAAAGCTCTGCTTGTCCGTTTTTGTTTTTGTTTTTGTTTTTAAGATTGATGTATTATGTATAGTGTTCTGCCTGCATGTATGCTGCATACCAGAAGAGGGCGCCAGATCTCACTATGGCTGGTTGAGAGCCACCATGTGGGTGCTGGGAATTGAACTAAGGACCTCTGGAAGGGCAGCCAGTGCTCTGAACCGCTGAGCCATCTCTCCAGCCCCTGCTTGTTTGTTTTAAAGGCATATGCCCATAAGGAAAATGGGAAAAGAAAAGACAAATGCCAGAAAGCAGATGGAGGGTTAGGTACTTAAAACTGACCCCAAAAAGCTACCCAACAACTGGAGGAAATGTAATTTAAAAAAAAAAAAGAAAAGAAAAGGAAAGAAATCACTATTTCCCCAAGACAGAGCTCATAAAAGCCTGCAGTTAGAATTATTTGCATTTCTGAGAGGCAAAGTGAGGGAAAGGCTCACAGCCAGCAGTGGCCTCTGACCTTCTATACCAGGTGCCAGAGACTGAACTGACTGAACTGTAAAACACGAGATTCCCGGATGGAGACAGGACAGCTGATTATGAGCCCCACGCCAGTACCTGGCATAAAGTCAGTGTAGAGCATTCTTCCCCTCCAAGCTCCAGACGACTGACAAGAGATGAGCGTCAGAAATGGTGACGGTCGGCATTCCAGGAGAGAAAGTCTCCTCTGGAAAATCCAACCAGCGCAGCAGAAAACCGCCAGAACACTGGGAGTCAGTATTTGATTGCCAACCTGCCAGGTTCCAGAATCACCTAGCAGACAAACCTGAGAATGAATGTCTGTGAGGGAGTTCCTAGATTGGGGTAACCCTAAATGTGAGCTCACCATCCCATGGCTGGGCGTCTCAGACTAAACGAAGAAGAGAGAGAGAGAGCTGAACATGGATGCATACATCTCCGCTCCCTGACCACAAACAATGTGACCAGCTGCCTCATGCCGCCACCACAATCTCTCTGCTTGATGGGCTGCACCCTCACACTGTGAGGCAAAGGAGGCTCTTCCTTAAGTCGCTCTTCTCAGGGCTCCTGTCATAGCAACATGAAAAGTAACGAGTACAAATACTCAGAGCATAGCCCAGGGCACCCCGATAGCCCCTAGGTCCTCTAAAAGAGCAGGCAGATCGTACCTACTTTCCAATTCATTTTTCACTTTCTCTTTTTATGCTCATTCTCACAACTATGTCAATAAACTTCTAAACTGCTATTATTGATAACACTTTTCTCCCACAAAACGTTATCTCCCATGTGCCTCCCTTCTTCTCGGAGGTTACTGAATGATGTACTCCTTTGAATGAGATCAGAAGCCACGACAGGGGGGGGGGGCTGGAGGTATTTTGAGAACAGATAAAAAATGACACTGCTTAGAATTCATGTTTCAGGGGAAAAGGGATTAGATACTAAAACAGGGCTTAAAAAAAATTTAAAAAGTACATCACGGACACCATATACTACCAAATAAAATCCCCAGTACCAGGAATGGGTTACATCTTTTTGAGTTATTGGCCAGTGGTGTCTCATAACATCGCACTATTCCTAATGTTACTGGTTACCCTCCAGATTGCTGAAGACATCCCATATTTATGTCATCGAGCACGGGAAAATCAAGCGGGTGATTTACCTGGAAGACTCACCCTTACTAGCTACTGTTCATAGTGCTGGAAGGTGCTACACGTGCTATGGAGGGAGAAAAGTAACCATTAATATCGCCTCACTATTAACCTGTGAGTTACAATAATTAAACTGCCTGCAAGACGTGGCCATTAATGCAATAGTGGCAGAAATGTTATGGGGGTAACCAAACACTTTTTTTAAAAAATGGATTTAAGGCCCACATGACACTGTCAATGAGGCTAGATAGATCATGGGCCCCAGGGGAAAACCTACTACCATAATCTGCTAAATCAGAGGTTCTTAACCTGTGGGTCACGACCCCTTCGGCAAATCTCTAGCTCCAAAAATATTTGCATTACAATTCATAACAGTAGCAAAATTACAGTTATGAAGCAGCAACAATGAAAATAATTTTATGGTTGGGGGTCACCTCAACATGAGGAGCTGTATTAAAGGGTCACAGCATCAGGAAGGTTGAGAACCACCACCGTGCTAAACGCACACAGCAGCAAAAGGACTCCTAATGACACATTGCTGTACCCGTAGGTCTGTGCATTCTCCAACGCCCATCACAGAAGTTTCTTCCTGCTGTAGATGGTGACTAACACAGACCCCCACAACTGGTTAACATACAGAAAATAAAACCATGGAATGCTTTGCTCTCAATGGGATGTCTATATCACACCCTCGGCTCACGGCTCAGGGATCGATGCAGAGGAGCAGGAGGAAGGAGCAGGAAGACTGTAAGGACCAGAGGTGATGAATGACTTCTAGGAAGCAGCGTTTCCTAGACACAACAGGGAAGATGCACATAGGACCTCACCGAGACTCACAACATGCACATACTGCACGAGCTCCAACCAGGCAAAATCCCAGCAACCCCTCGCCAAGAAGCTACTCATGATTGATAGCTTCTGGGAAAAGAAAGTCCGTTTTCTTTGATGGAGTAACATGAGATATAACAACTGCACTCCATGGCAGGCTCCATGCTCAGGAGGAGCCATACAACACAAACTGGATTCCATGTTTTTTGTTGTTATTGATTTTTGGTTTGTTTGTTTATTTGTTTGTTTGTTTTAAGAGAGGGAAAGAAGATGAAGTTATGCTGTGGGATGTTCTGTATGTGCTGTGGGAGCCCGTTCTTGGGTTCCTCATGGCTTTATCCAGCAGGTCCGCATAGAGGATGATTAGGACCACGGGCCTGAGTGCAGGTGTCTGAGATGGTCTGCACTTGGCTGTGCTGGGGGATGGTCTGTATGGCAAATGTGTTGCTCTGATTGGTCA